GGGATGCGGCGGTGTGAGGGAGAAACATGGCGGCGGCGTGAGGGGGAAACTTGGCGGCGGCTAGGGTTGAGAGAGGGGCTCCGTTCAAATGACATTGTGTGAGTTGCTCTGCCCAATTTCATTTGAATTCGAGATTTCAGAAGCGACCCCTCTTCAGATTCATTAGAAGAAGAGAGAAGCGAGCTAACTTCAATGCGGGTCCCACCTCCCATCTGCCAAAATTGAATCGCTCTCTTCGCCTCTCCTTGGTCCGCTTCTCTGCTCGCCTCCGCTCCCCCCCGCACTCCTAGCTCCCCATGGCGGGGCGCTCGCCGTCGCCGAGCCAAGCCGGAGCAACGCCCAACCGCCTAAAGCGCAAGGCCCCTGCATCTTCCGCCGTCCCCTCCTCCTCCACCTCCTTAGGGGCGGACCAGGCGGCGGACGAGGAGGACATTGAGGAGCTGGAGAGGGAGGTGGCCGATCTGGGCCGCCGGATACTCGAGCACCGCCGTGACGCCGCCGCCCGCTTCATCGACGCGACAGTATCGCGCCTCGTCGCCCTCCGCCCGCCCGCCTGCCTCGTCGGTATGCGCGCTTCCGGCCTCTCTCCGGTACTAGGGTTTCCGGTTAATTCGTCCCCATTTTGGAGATTTGTATGATTTGCCGGTAGTGCTTGAAGTACACATAGAAAAATGCCCCCGTTTGTGATTTACTGCTAGTCAGGGCTTGGGAATAGGGAGACATGGGTAAAAGCCAGCATTTTGGATCTATGTTGACACTCTTGAGCTATTGAGAGAAACGGAGGGAGGGATTTGTTTCTGTTTGCACAATTTTTCCTCAAATAATCATAGGAATCATTGATTTCTAGTCTAGGTAAGTTATTTGATTGCCACTTGTAGTTGACAATATTTGCTAAGGCTCAGCTTGTGCTTGCTAAGCTTTGTTGTGTTGTGCAGAACTAACTTTATAATCAGTCGTGGAAATATAACCACGAAAACAGAGAGAAGCTTTGTTAGCCAAACAGCAAAATAGGCGTAATTTTGTTAGGCAGACATGATCATCATAACCGACTGCAGCGTGAAACAGAACCTAGAAATTCATGCTTATTTCTTCTTATGGTAATCTCAACTTAGTTCAGTTAAGAAACGAAATGTTGGCAATTTATCATTTGACCTTACAGGATTGTTGTGTTTTACTGTGAGTGACGGGGAATTATGTAAAGTTTGACATATATTATGTGTAAGAAAACATGTTGCATGGTTATTTTATAAGGCGTGAGCTGGCAGAGTGAATCCTGATTGGATGCATTGTGGTTTTAGCTGGGTTTGTTATCTGGTCGGCAATTGCTGAGATAACTGTAACCCAGAATTATTTGCCCTTTCAAATGCGAAAGCTAAAAAAGTGGACTGCTATTTTTCTCGCCCTGTTTTCTCCTTTGCAAATTCAACTAAATATGTGTGTCACATCATCAGAACTCAGAAGTCAGCCCCTACGAATTTTGCTGTTATTTACTCGAAAAATACCTGACTACAAGCTCAGGCTGCTACTTTGCAACCATGATAGATTAAACATCAGTTGTCATGGCATGAATAAAGGGCAAACGTATAGTAATGCAGTGACAATTTACAGAAAAATGGTAGTACACCAAGGCTGACACCATTATGGATATTGCAGAAGTTCCAGTTGAAGCACAACCTGCCGTTGGAACCTCGCACGCCGAAGCTGAACAAAATATTACTGAAAAGCTAAAGTTGTTCAAGTCCAAGACCGAGGCAAATATCGCGGCGATGCCTAAGGTGCTTGAGAGAATGAATGAATGTGTTGCTCGTATGGAGAAGGTGGAGCAGTTGAATTTGAACATACATCCTGTTTTCCAAAGAAGGCGGTAGTGTTGATATCGTGCTTCTGTTTTATCTATTACGCGTGGGCTGCTTGCTCACTCAGCAATTGTACCATTTTTAACATGTTGGTGTTGAAATAGCCTGATTCAAGTAGTACTTAGGCGGGATCTATTACTGACAAAGCATTGACATTTACACTATGGATGTACTCCCTCTGTCTCAAAATGTAACATGTTGGCGTTGAAATAGCCTGATTCAAGTAGTACCATTTTTTTATGTCTTACATTTTTAGGCAGAGGGAGTAACATTTTGTTCAGATGTATTTAATCAATGTGTGTGTGTGTGTGTGTGTGTGTGTGTGTGTGTGTGTCAGTGTGTGGCTATTTTGCTCACTTCTCCAGGCTGTGTACTCTTTGGTAACCCGTTTCTGAACATTATATGTGAAAGGCAAGGCGGTACATGTTCCTGTTTTGTCACCCGTAGTTCTAATATATTAATGTGCGATAGGCTAACATTGCCTACTGATTGTGAAGCCTGTGTAATAGCAATATACTCTTAATTCTCCTGCTAGCTGTTTTCTCATACGATGTACAATGTGGTCAGCATTCGGAACATTACGATGCTCATATATTAAGCAGAAGTTATCGGATATCAACTAAGATAATCTTACTGAACACTATATAATAACAACTTACCAATATGTGTATCAAAGAAGTAATTTGTTATGGTAGTATTTCTAGCACTGTGATTATCAGTCTTTTCAGTTTTAGCAACATGAATACTTTTCAGAGCTAATTGAGGTATAGCACGGTAATTGTGGGGCAAGCATGGCATATGAGGAACTCAAAATTATCAGTTCAAACTTAAACAGGATGGGTCGTGTTGTGAATGTCTGGTATTTGCTGAATGCAGGGCTTACTTTCTGCCCAATAATAACTGGTGTGCATTGATAATCTCATTGCACATGGTTAAGAAAGAAAATTGTGTGTAATGTGGTAGTCACAGTGCACACTGCTGCGCCCCAGTGGCCGTTTGCATAGAGAAGCTCTATGCAAATGTGTATTGAGGGGTCACCTTTGTCTTTTATATACCGCCACAGCCCATCGACTGATTTTAGGTACTACTAGAACTAAGTTTGTATACACGCATAGGAATGACCAATTTTGAAATGTTTTCCATTTCTCCATTATATCTATATATTATCTGCCTTCCTAGGTTATAAATGATTTTACATGACCAAAGTGCACTTCTTGCTTGATTTTTTTAAATCTATATTTTCCCAATGCATAGCCTCAAATTTGAGGAAATGATCTTTGAGAAGAGCTAATGAATAATTTTCATTGTACCAATATTTTCGTAGTTGTATGTTTGTTGGTTTAGATGCATAGCATGTTACAAATAATCACAAAGTTGTTGTTTTCCAACCACATAGAATGGAATGGACTGCTCTTGACTAGATTATGTGTTCTAGGAAGCGGAGAAGAACAAGCTTTGGTTGATCTGCATCGCATTCAGTGGCACCCTGCAGTATACATGTGTTCTCCACATCCACAAATGAACCACCGACCAACCAGTTCACCCTGACGTTTATAGGATCTTTACAACTACTATTAGTGTGGAGAGTATTTGAATGTTGTTGAAATATCAGATTATCTGTAGGGTACAACTACTAATTTTGTCCTCCAGAATTAAGGGAGGTAGATTCTTGACCCCAAATATTTTCCTATACATTTGACATTTCAGATTTACCTGTTTCTTAGATCTATCTAAATCAAGTGCAATATGGTATACTTTTCTTGGTTGATTTGTAGTAAGATTTTAACATTGTTGCCGTGCAAATATTAAGATAGATGTATGGTTCAGTTGAATTGTACATGTTTCTGCTTATATGGTTCTTTTTGAGTTTGAGAACGGAACTAGATAGGCTTTTTAAATACATTTCATTTATATGAAAGTTTTCCTGCAACTGTAGCTATGGGATCCATATTTCATTGGTGTATTTTAAATAATACATACGTTTTTTTTATTTACAGTTTCAGAGTTGAGTATAGCTGCTACTTATTGAAAATATGATAAGTTAGGCATTCAGTTGGGATATCAGAGAGCCCATTTAGTGACTCTAATATGTCTAGCAATGAGTTTTGTACTTTGATAATGATCCAAATACTACTAGCTAAATCTGATTTCAGCAAATTACCAGCTTCATGCGTTCTACGAAGCAAAATAGTGTATTTGTATATGCATGCCATGCCACTAAAACTACTTCGTCGAACAGTGCTCTGCAAAAGCTCTCACAAAATTCCTATCAGCAAACTTACCAAATAACCTATTATTTTATGAAGATTGTAAATAGGACATATAATCTTTATCTTAAATAAATAAATTATTTTTGCCACCACAAAGTCCAGTATGGTCTTAGTGTTGATTGCACTGAAACTGCTTCTGGTATTGAAAGTTCGACTTGACTCTTCACTCCTCTACGCATCGAATTGATTCACCTCCTCATTGCTTTCAACCTCTCCAAACTTCTCTCATGTTATTGCAGAACATCACATTTTTCCAAAAAAATATACGAGAAATCGATCGTTTGACTCACAAACGAACACACTCTTATCTATATTTTGGACTGATTTTCCATTTTTTTTCATATATGCTTGAATAAATATATAGAGTTCTAATTCGAAATTCCCCTGACTTTGGTACGCGATTCAGTTCATTTGCATGGAAATTTTAATGTTAATCTAGCACCTGAGTAATGCATTGATGACAATGTATAGCACATTCATATAGTGGGTCCATGTCCCATAAGAAGGTTATAAGCCACCTGAACTTGGTCTGAGATTTTAATATGTTGCTGAATGAATCAACATTATTGTGCTTCACTATACCTTAACAATGCAGCCATGTTGTAACATCTCATTTCATAACTTACTAGAAAACATTTATGTTCTTATATAACACATCTAGACTCCCAATTCCAATTTTAACCAGAGAAAAAAAAATAGATGTCCATCTCCCAGCATCCAAGTTGTAAGTTCCAAATGGTTCCTATCGACTGCAAGACAATTTGCTTCTCTTCTATTTATCATCTTCCCGATGCTCTATTTTATTCTTCGTCAATAGAAAGACAACAATGTTCATGATCTTTCCCGTCTGTTTTTTGTAAGGCGAGTTTGTGCATCTTCTCCTCCCTGATCTAAGTCATCTCAATAAGGATGCTCTATCTTAAAACCACCTGCAATTCCTTTGTTTTTCTTGATACAGCAAACTAATGATAAAAAAACTAAGATTTCCCTATGGCACAATTTGCTTACAAACCTATGTTAACTGTCCTGTAGTATGATACCAAATGGGGAGCCCTTAAAGCAGGCCAGGCAATGATGGAACCAAAGCCAATTTTCATGAGAATAGAAACCAAAGTCGAAGAGAAAGGTCGAGCAGGTGCAAAGGAGGGGAAGGTCAGGAAGAAGAAAAGACGTAGTAAAGGACTCGTGGAGGCATGAGTTAGGCTTATGAGTACTGACTGAATGGCTCCTTAACGATCTTAGGATACATGTTCTGCAAAACCATCTCATATATGATTGTGTAGATAGCAGAAAAGCTTTGGTGGGAAGGAAGCCTTTGACTTTTTGTAGAGAGAACTGAGCTTAGCAATTCGTTCTCTCAGGTTTTCAAATTCAAAATTGTACTACATTGAGATGCCTAATTGTACTACAAACAGTTATATGCACCCGAAAGAAAGTTTGGAGATATTTCTTGTGTCATGTTCACCATTTTTCATGATTGTGGAAATGTTTAATTGAATCCAAGGTCAAAACTTTTACTGAGATGTTTCTTTGCCCCATTCCAAGTTAGAAATCTGATCCTTTGTAGTTGGTTGTTATTATTGTTATTTCACGATATGTTTTTGTAAGAAACATAAACTATTATTTGCCATTAGCTACCTATATTAGTCGTTAGTCGGCGCACACATGTTACTTATTTTAAGTTGGCATGTAAACAATTACTATTGCCTATATAGCATGACTTGAGAAATTCTTTTCTTTTGACATATTCATTTGCATTTTCTAAACCAACTAAATACTTACCTAAGAAGCATCAGAATTGGAATCTACTCCTGGTCGCGATATGGGTCACACTTATATTGCCAACATAAAATGAACGACAGTCAACATGCAGCGAAGTGAACGTCTTCCTTTGAATTATAGTTCACACTTCATTTATCAACATAAACTCAACAAATTCAGTGTCCCCATGCAACAACTTCCTCTTGACCCCTACGAACGTCATGTTCTAAAAATTGACGCTTTCAAGATGGAGACCATGGCTATTATTTCTGTGGACCTTCAGGTGAAGAAGAAATTACAACATTGTGAGAACATATAATTTCATATTGCTGACCAATGTGAAATGAGAAATGCGGCCCATGACACCATTCATTTTCATCATTTACGTATCTATGCCACTAAATAATCTAATCAATTCATTTACATGCATCATGCCCCGTAGCAACGCACGGGCATTTAACTAGTATAGGATAGTGTCACAAGTATAGGATAGCATCACATCATCAATAGTTTCGCCAATTTAACAGATGCGTGGAATAGGCGCAATATATTTAACTTCTTCGCATGAGGCCCGAGACTTTAAATTGAGCGTGGAACAGATATTTGAAATGGTACTACATGACCTCAGGATTACAAAACTTCGAATTTGAGGTACATCTGTCTACATTCATGTGCGGCGTGTTTGATGGCAATTGCCATCCACATATGCAAAGGAAAACCTGAATGTGAATCAGCATGCGAGGATACAATCGTTCACAATAAGCATGTGTGCCAAATTCAAGCTGTAAGCTGTACTCCTATGCATAAATCTCACCATTGTCCCCGTGTACTATATAAGATAAAAATACGGGACAGCAAGGGGAAAGAAAATATTAAAGTACAGGCATGGCTCTTCTGCACATCTCAAAGCTTCGGCCTTGGGGTTTGCCCGGGTGTCTTGGCCCTCCTAATCAACGCCTCTTGGGTCAGCGACACGATGAGCTGACAATTTATGGAATTTATTTTAGATGAGAAAAATAGTAACACGATGAGCTGACAATTTATGGAATTTATTTTATATGAGAAAAATAGTACTCCCTACGAATCAAAAAGAGTGTCGTGGCTTTAGTTCAGTTTTAGTTCAAAACACACTTTTTTGGATCGGAGGGAGTAAGCAGCACCACAGTCGGAGCTTTGAAAGAATGAAATTAATGTGCATACCTCTCCTTGCCGGTTGAACATACGTCCGGTGACGAATCCCCTACCACCATGTGCGGATGGGCTGTCGATCTGTGTTCATGAAGGGAAGATGACATTGAGATGAGAGCCTCTTGAACAAATTTTATTTCTATCATGATCGATTGAAGATACAGGCCAATAGCTTACCACATATAACAACCAGTCATCAGCTTTCACAGGCTTGTGGAACCACATCCTGCAAAACATTAACAGGCAACAGAAAAGAGACCATTTATTGGTGGGACGAATGTGGCAAATTAAAAACCCCGATAATGACTCTTGAAACATACGAGTGATCAAGACTGAGAGAGTATGTCTTCAAACCCCTCTTCCGGTGCGGATTTAGGCTGACGCCTGAATATAGTAGATCCGAAGCATATGCTACAACGCATCTGTAATACCATAGAATAATGTCATCAGCATATCCAGCTGTTCAAAGTATGACCAATGTACAGCGATAAATGGCCAACCTATGCAGAGCTGGATCATCCGAAAGTTTTCCTCTAGCTCTAAACCAATAATGCAGGCTGAAAAGAATCAGATGCATTACTGAATCAGAAAAACATATATTGCAATACGATCTATGTAAAAAATATTAGTCTGGAGAATCTATACTGAAGCTTAGAATTTCTATCTAAAAAGATCCGTGAGCCACGAAGAAACAAATGATTAGTGAATCTCAAGGCCGCAAAAAAATTTCATCGCAAACTTACCTTGGTTCATGTTGAGATTTAGAATCTTGGCAGAACCTCATTTCAATGGGCCAAGGTACAAACTTTTTCTTGGCAGCTGAGTTCCTATATTGCCTGCAGATTACTGAACTGTCAGGACTCAGGTATGACAGCATGTGATAAAGAAATGAATGTACTGTCATATTCATATGACAACTGAAGCTTAAGAAGTATATAATTATGATATTCTAAATGAATCTTATGGGTTTCACCTCTAGCCTACGCCAACTTTTTTGGGACTAAAGGCTTAATTGTTGTTATTACTGTTATTCCAAATGTGTCATCGAACTAGTGCCATTACCAGAATGGGGGATCCACTTGAAAACTAATAAACACATAAACAATCATGCTTTTCTAACAGTTCAGAAGATGTTGCATCTTAAGGTGAATATTTTTAAGTTAAAACAGTTAGTTTAGCCAACTAGCAAAACATACGATTCGTAGTCAAGAAAATTTACATCGGAAACCGTGGATCAGTGAGTCTTCTTTCCCGTATCTCCTCCATATTCAGGAGCTGCATTTGATTACTTATTAGTTCCAAGACTATTTCCCCAAGGGCATCAGAGGAAAGTGACAAAAATCCTTGCCTGTTCTGGAGGAGGAACGACAGGCATGATTGCAGCCTGATGCTCAAACCCTAATTCTTCCTTCTGCAAAAGAACCAGAACAGAAGTTAGACACCCTTTCTTCTTTGTATAGTAGATTACTTTAGTGGGGCTGATCCTCCAATGTATCGCCTAGTAGTATCATTTTGCTAGTTGTACTCTTGGACAAATTTATTACTTCACTTTGATACATATATGCTGATTGTTGTTTGGGACAAATAATTGAATTGATCTATTGGCAGCGGATAGAGCAAAACAACTCTGGGTTTAAAATTTAATAACTTAAAACTTTGTATAGTATGTCTATTCATGCTTGATTTGATTATCATGGAAACCTCTTAGGAACATATGAACCTAGTATTGAGATAGTGAACACAATTCTCTGTTCAGTCTGGCACTCCTTTTTTTCATTTTTTGTGCAGAAGAGTTTGGACAGATGATATAGTTTAGGGGGTTTAAACACTAATAAACTAAGGAACAACTATTTGACACAACATTTCGGAAGCTACTAGGTACAAAACTGTCGTTTGAGCTACTGTCTAATATTCTCAACATGAACAAGGTACACGCTTCCCCTGGTTATATCACTGGGAGTGTTAAAAATAACTAAAACTTGCCTAACTATTCTGCTATAATTATTTATACAACTTTAAGGATAATCACCTGGAAAGAAACAATTAAAGTGAACATAACAAGGCCTTTCTGCTTTGCCTCCACTTTTCTGGTGGCAAAGCTGGTTCCATCACGCTCCCGATGCACTTGATATATTATTGGCACTATATAGCAGAGGACATAACAAAGACAGATATAAACATAGTTTTGTTTGAACAAAAGGATAATGCATTAACGATCAAAACTTAAAAGGATAATTACAGAACAGGGCATTAATACGAGTACAGTACTGATAATTATAGGCCAGACTTTAGTTTCTGCTTGCCCCCTGTTATGGACAAAATGAACACAAAGTTTATAATATTCTTACTGTTATTGTCTCCTGCTATTAGAAAAATTGCATGCAGACTATGCACAAGTTTCAGGCAATCGACAGTCTTGGATGCTGCTGCTAGTGCCTGCATGAAGGTTAAGACATAGTGAAAACCATTGGCAATGATGTGCAAAGCTTTTATTCTACCCCCCTTTATAGTGAAAACTAGTCAGTTTTACAGTAAATGTTTTTTCTCTTGTATGGGAGTGTAGGGAGTGAGTTATGATGACCACTGACCAAGCAGTGCTTTTTAACCAAACACAAATAACTGAATCAGAATAAGGTTCATACAGTGTCAAATACTGACTAGTTTTACTGCCTGTGTTATGTTCTAAAACCTTTCTGTCTAGCTATTTTTCTTTCTGCTGAACTGCTCCCTAAGTGAGCTGATGTATGGACTGCTGGTTTCATTTGATAATGAAAAAAAAAACTGACTGGTTTCCATTTGATATCTTGAGTGAACACCATTTAAATAACAGAAAAGCTGAGACTTACCTGGGTTCCAAGTATTGTATTAAAAAATCTACAGTTAACAGCAACCATGACAAAGAAGATTTCTATTTGATCTTGTCCCGAGTTCAGAACTTCAAATAAAAATATAAAGAGTTCCTAGAAATCTATAATCACCAAGTGAGTTCACAAAGGTGAATTCTGGATCTTCTGGTCTTAATTCAAATGAATTCGTACAGGCATTCAAAAGGAACATTTATGTGAACAACTTTGATAACTTAATTTCATTGAAGAAGCTAATTAGCAATAAGGTTGATAACACATTATGAAAGAAAATACCAAAAGGATAAACATCGCCAACAACAATGCAACAGAGCTATCTTGAAGAAAGTTGATTGCATTATTCAAACATAAAATGTATATCTGTTACTGAACTGTTTCTTGTGGAGATACTCATACATGTGAACTATATGTTTCTAAAAGTTGAGGGAATTCAGAAGCATGCTTAAGAAGCTTCCTTTTAGCATTGACTCGGTGATTCACATATTCATACTTAAATATAGGAACTAGGATATCCCTCCAGAGCATAGAAATGAGGCGGTCAAATACATGCAGTTGGCAGATATAGATGACAGCAACTAAGAGAGTGGTTGAAGCATGCCTGCCCAATCAATTGTCCTCCAAAAACTTGATTAAAAGTTGGAGCTTCTGGCAAAGTAAATCCACGAAAGATATCAACCTACAAAATAGATAAGAATTAAGGTAAGCAAGATCAGGAAGTAAACTGTAAATTATTATGATAGCATGCTTGTCTCTTTAACTTGTAGACCATGAGATGCAAAACTGAAACTGCCAAATTTGCTCTTGTATTTCTTTCTTTTAGGAAATGTCAATAAAATACAATGGCCAACGATGATATTAAATCAAAGTTAGCAGACATAGCATAAATGTTACGATTTAAGCAATTAGTATGTCTGATCATCATTCCTCCAGTACAGTGAGCAAACTGAGACATGATACCTTGACAAAATAGAAATATCATAGATACAAGCATACATCTATCTAGACATACCTCTAATTTCTCTAAATGTAAAATTTGTTCCATCAATGAATGGCTTTCAGGTGTTTCTTCTGCATTCCAAATTGTCTTGGTTTGCAGCAGATGTCCATATTGACTTGGCAATACAAAGCAGGACAGCTGCAATACATGAATAACAATAAGCTAAAGCCAACTATTGGATTTGGAAAAGCCATCAGCTAATATCACTGCAAACGGAAATCCTAAAGCTAATAAAATATCAAGTTAGAAAACAGAATATGGAAAATTATACCTTTGTCACCGCAATAACATTTACTTGATGTACAGAACTATTGGTCCCTATAAAACAATACAAAACATTAGGAGTTATCCAAAAAAATACATGAAATACGAACTGTTAGTCTTTTCAAGCAAAATATGGACATACATGATGAAAATAGATACTGTCCATAACAAAACTAAAATCATGTATAGAGATGTCTTACCGTAACCAAAGTAGTCATACTTATTTAACACATAGTCTGGACGGTTTGCTTCTTCTGTGTTTGCAGGAGCAGAAACTTCAGCCTGCAAGATAATGACAATGTCTTTCAAATTAAAGAATTCTTTGATAGAGCAATACTTTCTTGGCTGTTGAGATAGGAATTTTACTCTGAAGGTCTGGAACTATAAAACTCAGGTTTAGTCTTTCCCCCAGAGCAGGAATGCAAATAACCAACGATAGAGAAATTGAACATCACTCTTTTCTTTGCATGATTTCCCAGCAACTTAGAAAGAAAATAGTTCTTGTAACGAATTATGTTTCATCATTTTGAGAAATCGCAAAAAGCCTCGCTTATCGATGCATTGATGACAAATAGAAAAAAGTTATTTACAAGCCTACGAGTAGGCCAACGAATGATCTTCTATCTGTAATGCCGAAAATGAAGCACCCAACCCATTCAAATTTGCTGATATAGTATTGTTTTTCAGATAGTAATCAGGACCTCTCATAGTGAACAGCAGCATTATAATGAACTCTGCCATTCTGTCAAAGAAAGGTGTCTCTGTAAATAAGTGAAGCAAGAACTAGCATGACCAATACCTGCCCATCCAATATGATGCAAAGGCCATCCACGGGTTCACCTTCACGGGCGACATAATCACCAGGTTCTGCAAAATACCACCATGAAAACAAGATGCATAAATCAACTTGACCCCACACCACAATCAGTGAATACAAAATCACCACCACTGCGCATACACCGAAGAGTCAAGGGCTAAACAACATCTAGTTAATAGGTACGCACTGAAATGCAGCGCCCAGTTTTTTAGCAGCCTAATTTGCATGCAGTTGCTCTCGATGGTTAAAATTTTCTATTTATGCAGATCGCAACGCCAGTGCAGAATCATGAGATGCATACAGAATCATGTGCGCGGTTTGAAGTACAGTGAACTAATACAAATCATGGGAGTCACATCAGACATCACTGACCGACACAGAGAGCATCCTTCAGTACAGAGTACTCTGAACTGAGGCAAGCCAGATTTAGGCTGCGCTCGCCTGAACCAGGCAAGCCCGGTGGGCCGACCGGTCGATCTAGGGGGCGCTACAGCACAAGGACGGGGGGCGGCGCGCGCGACTCACCGTAGTGCTTGACCTGGACGGCCTCGGCGATCCTGCGGATGGAGGAGCCGGGGAGGCACTGCAGGAGCGGCACCTGGCCCAGGAACTCCGTCACTGCACACCAACGGGAATCGTCCCCAGAATTAGCCACAGTCGCTCCCAAATCCGGCAGGCTCGCCGCTGCCTTACCTTGTTCCCGGTCCATCGGCGGAGGCGTCGGCGGCGCGCGGCGGGTGGGAGGGGAGCAGCAGCAGCAGCACCGGGGCAGAGAGGCAGCTGCGGTTCCGGGAAGGCGGACAATAAATAAAAATCTCGAAGTTAAAAGCGATTGGGATTTGGCAGGGTCGGGAATTTGTGGGGAGGACGAGGCGAGAGGAACGTATACCTGCTCGGGTTTTTTTTTATATTTTTTCCACACGTGAGAGGTGTGGACGCGTGACGGGGCTGGAGTCGCTGGAGTGCTCTCTCAGTGGCGTGTGGGCCAGAGGACAAAATATATGTGGGGTAGCCGAGATGTCGACGACAAACGGTTGCCCACGCTGACCCGAATTGATGATGGGGGAATCGTTATGCATGTGCGCTTTACTGGAATGCTTGTCTCGTCGGGCATCTCTTCAACCGTTTGATGCTCGTATAATCACACTATTAGGACATCTCCAACGATAATCCGTAAAAAACAATCCGTATCTGTTCGCGGATAGGGGACTAGTCCATGGATACAGATGCGGAAGGCCGTCATCCAATAATATCCATATATATTTGGACAACAATACGAAAAACCCAGACGAAATTCATTCAAATTGGATAGATTTTATTCAAATTCAAATATAATTCACATAAACAGATGATATTTTGACCGTTCTACTAAAACTATATTAAAAAACACTAAACTCTATATTGAACGATCACCTCGTAAGCATGACCACCCTGTCCTGCCACACGGCCGTTGGCGTCCATGCTGCCATTGTCGTCCCTCCAGTAGCGTAAGGATGCCAAAGGGCCGCAATAGCCTTGTTCGACAGCTGTCTGACGCTCGCGTAGGGCTTAAAAAGCCGCAGCCAAGCCAGGCGGAGGGGCGGCTAGCCCGCTTCAATGCGGCCCATCTGCCGGAGTTGGTTTCTCAGGACGCTACGAAGCCCGAGAGGTCGCGTCCGTCTGCGCCGCCTTCCCGTCCGGTCAATCACGGGCATCAATGTTGGCCGCTGCATGTTGTGAGCCGGCATGAAATGCGACGCGACAAGCGACGTGACGTGTGGGGCGGGTGGAAGGTTTGGGGTGGGCCAGGGCGGTCATACGTGGGCTTGGAAATGGTCCGGGCGCTCGCAAAGCCCCCACGTTTGTCTCTAGTTTGTGGGAGAAAACACATCCGGATCTCTCGGCAGAGCGATACAGGCCCGCGTTGGATGGCTTCCGTCGTCCGGTCAGCCGTCAGCGTGGTCCAGACGTATGCAGGCGGTTTGAGGGTCGGTGTTGAAGATTCCCTTACTCCTTCCGTAACAATCATTCAGTCGTGCAAGTGAAAGGCAATAATGATGATATTCGATGAGCTAGCCGTGGCAAGGAGAAACTGGTATGAAATCGACTTGTCTTGTCTGTGTAAATATGTTTAACCTAGTGCCCATGATTCAGGCCGTTATGATTAAACATGTTTGCAATGACAATTAGAGATTATAGTTTCTCATGCCATGCATAAGTAGCTGGGAGTTAATAATGATTTATCTTGGATATCAACATAGCGTTAAAATGATTGTGATGTAGTATGATGATATGGTATCCTATGAATGTTCGAGTGGCTTGACTTGGTACATGTTCATGCATGTAGTTGAATCAAAACCAACATAGTCTCTATAATGTTTATGTTCATGGTGTTCATATCCTACTCATGCTAGTGTCCAATGTTACTTATGCATAATGCCTGGTCATGATCGTTGTTGCTCTCTAGTTGTCCGCTTCCCAATCTTAAAGTTGCTAGCCTTTGCCTGTACTAAGTGGGGATTCTGCTTGTACATCAAAAACCTTGAATCCAAAATTATTCCAGATGAGTCCACCATACCTACCTATATACGGTATTACCCTGCCGTCCTAAGTAAATTTGCATGTGCCACCTCTAAAAACTTCTAGAAAAATTATCAGTTTTGTGTGTCTGGATCGTTCATGGAACGACAGGAGGTGGTCGATATCTTTCGTGCTAAGCATGTTATCCTCAAATCGAGTGTTTATTCACTCACCATCGCACGAGGAAATGGGCGGTAATGGGGATTTCCAGTCCCTAACTCAAAAATGCAAATATTAAACGAAACTCCCCCGGGACTGTTGTTGGTTTGGACGGCACCCGTTGTTTCGGACAAGCCG